GTAATCAAAGGGCAAGTGCTAGCAGACTTCATTGCAGAGTTCACCACAGCCCCAAAAGCATCTTTGACGGCTACCCAACTAGAACCCTACCTCCCCCACATGGAAACTCTTGATGGACGGAGCTGCCAATGCCCAGGGCAGCAGTGTAAGTTTGATCCTGATGGTGTAAATCAACGTGGTGCAACTTTGTGATACTGAGCAGATGAGATGAGCAGTGTGTGACTATTAGGATTTGAGATATAAATCTCGAAAGAACAAGGATTGGTATTTTTATTTTTTTCTTTTTTTGGGGAATTGGGGGATTGACACAATGAAAATATAGTGGTTCACCAGCTCGGGAGATCGGTTAATCCACTCTTCAATGAAGGCTCTTGCTTCTTCTTTCTCTGTATATCCTCCGAAATGTTTACAAGACCGATCGTGTGTTATTCTAGCTCTCTTTTCCTCTAGGGGGCATTACATAGTATTTATAGGGCTGTCCCTAGTTCTACGGGATCTGCATCGAGATTCCTGCCATTTATCCGAGGAACTCTCCTTGATCTTAGGAGAGGATCTCGGCTGGTTAAGAATTTTGTGCCTTGAATATAGCTCTTTGCCATCTATAAGATTTTTGTTGTCATCCAGCTATTCCATTATCATTTCCACTATTGTCACATCTGGGGGGAGCTCTAATTTTGATTCTCTGAGCTCTGTGTATCTTTTCTGACCTCTTGGTCTGACCTCCGAGCCTGAGTTCATACTTGGAAATTATTTTGAGTATCATCAGATCTTGACCTCCATTAATGGGATAGACGTCGAATACGTCCTTAGATTCAGGTTCAAAGCTTCAAACAATGAGGCAGAAAATGAGGCTATCATCACTGGACTTAATTTGGCCCACTCAATGGAGGCAAAATAGCTCGAAATCTACAACGACTCTCAGCTCGTGGTAAAACAAATAGAAGAGACCTATGAGGCTAAGGGAGAGATGATGATCCTATAGCTAAAAAAGGTGCGAGAACTAATAAGAGAATTTGTGCAAGTCAAAATCAAGCATGTCCCCAGAACTGAGAATTCTCGAGTAGACACTTTAGCAAGTCTTGCAACGGCCTCTCAGGAGAGCCTGGAAAGGTTAATCCCAGTATAGCACCTAGCTGAACCATCTGTGAGCCACGAAGATTAAGAAATGTTTCCTATGTTAGCCCAGCCAAGATGGATGGACCCAATTAGAGAATACCTTTAGAATGTTACTTTGCTTGCAGATCCCAAATAAGCCACAATGCTAAGAGCCAAGTCATCCAGATTCACGATCCTGCATGGAAACCTATATAAGCGAGGCTTTTCAACATCCCTCCTTAAATGTGTAGGAGACGAAGATACTAATTACATCCTAAGGAAAATCCACAAAGGCATTTGTGGTAATCATATTGGAGCTCGAGCTCTGGTAAAAAAAGCACTAAGACAAGGATACTTCTGGCCCACTCCACTTAAAGATGTTGCATACATGGTTAAAAGGTGTAAGGTTTGTTAGCTGCACGCTAACGTCCCATATTGCCCTCTAGAGGTCCTCACCTTGGTGGTAAGCCCTTGGCCCTTCCAACAATAGGGGCTGGACATACTTGGGCCTCTTTCCCCAAGTACTGGACAATGCAAGTTCGCCATTATTGAGGTAGATTAATTCATCAAATGGGTAGAGATGGAGCCCTTGGCTACAATTACAAAGCAAAAATTTCAAAAATTTACTTGAAAATCCATAATTTGCAAGTTTGGAATACCTAGGGCAATCATCTCAAACAATGGGAAGCAATTTGACAATCCCAAGTTCAAGAGGTTATGTGCCGAGCTAGGAATAAAAAATTACTTCTTTGCTCCAGCTCATCCTCAATCAAATGGGCAAGTGGAAGTGACGATTCGAACCATAACAATGGCTCTGAAGACCAAGCTGAAAGCCCTAAAAGGAAAATGGGTGGAGCACGTCCCAGAGATGTTGTGGGCTTATAGAACCACAACCAAGTTGACAACTTAAGAAACGTCATTTGCTTTAACATTCGGAACTAAGGTAGTGGCACCTGTAGAGGTTGGTATTCCATCCCCTAGGGCGGAGTTCTCAGATTTCGAGCACAACAATGAGTCACTACTACTAAACCTCGACCTCTTGGATGAAAAGAGGGACAAGGCCTTGCAACGCATTATGAGTTACCAAAGGATAATAACATTATACTACAACAAGAGAGTCAGACACAGAAGCTTCAAAGTTGGGAACCTGGTACTCGAAAAGCTTCTTCTTGTGATAAAAGACCCCACTCATGGAAAGTTAGGGCCTAATTGGGAAGGTCCCTACATCATCTCAAAGGTAATCAGACCTGGGAACTACGAATTGCAAACAAAAGAAAGAAAAGTCTTACCTCACTCTTGGAACACAGAACATTTGAAAAGATTTTTTCAATAAACTCTTGTTAGAAGGTCCTCATCAATAAAATGACAAGTTACAACTCAGTCAAGCATTTCATTAGTAGTTTAAAGCTAACGATGAGCTCTTCAGCTCTTAAATATAAGACGAGTTTTTCAACTCATAAACAATTGATGAGCTCTTCAGCTCATAAAAACAAGATGAGCTCTCTAGCTCATAAATATAAGATGAGTTCTTCAACTTATAAACGATCGATGAACTCTTCAGCTCATAAAATCAAGATAAGCTCTCCAACTCATAAATATAAGATAAGTTCTTCAACTCATAAACAATCGATGAGTTCTTCAGCTTATAAAAGCAAGATGAGTTTTTCAGCTTATAAGAAGAGTTCTTCAACTCATAAACAAATGATGAGTTCTTCAGCTTATAAGCAAACGACGAGCTCTTCATATCTTAAACAAACGACGAGCTCTTTATCTCATAAACAAACAATGAGCTCTTTAGCTTCTAAACAAACGATGAGCCTTCAGCTCATAAATAAAAGATGAGTTCCTCAACTCACAAACAGCCAATGAGCCACATTCGCTCATTAAAGCACATATAAGCTCTTTAACTCATAAACCATCAAAGAAAGGAAGCTCTCAAATTCCTAAACAAAAAGCTCTATGGCCTAGACATTATAAGAGCAAGGCATCAAACAGAAAAAGAAATTTTCATTCATAAGTATTGTGAGTTATAGAAAGAAAGGAAAAATGGCCCTAAGCACCCCAAGATCCCCTCTTCAGCTTTGATACTTCCTCCACCAATTGAGCGTTAATAAACCATAGCAGAGCATTCTCTGCCTTTAGCTCGTCCTATTCCTTCTTCATCTCAGAAAACTGGTTCTTGAGGCTTGAATTCTCAAAAGCAAGCTTAAGCTCCATATTTGAAAAATCAATCTCATTAGAAAAAGAACCTAACAACTGCGGCGATGCACTGCCATTTCTTATGCATTTCCTCAAAGAAGTAGCGACATCCTCACCCTCATCTGACTCCACAGAAGAACAATCTACATAGGGATTAGGAGAAAGAGGACGTAAGGTAACATCCAGAGTAGCGACAGAGGCACTAAACCAAAGAAGGTTCTGAGGGGTAACCAGCAATGAGAAAGGAAAAAGTTCAACATGAGCCACCTGGCTAACCCTCACCAGCTTAGTCGAGGTCAGACTAGGGGCACCTGCATAGTAAATGAACAGTAAGAACCAATCCTAGTGCCTACAAATTATAGTAGGATAGGTCCTGAGCCTCAACCTCTATTAGAGAAACGCCCCTAAGAGCGAGGGACTCGGGAATGTGTGCATTGCTGCACAACATACCTCCAGGAGTCCCCCGATACAAAGAAAAAGCTCTAAGCCCAACCTTCTAGGGAATTCAAAATGTCAAGGATCAACGGAGGATTAAAGTGACACCTCCATATGAAGAAACTGTAGTAGGGGAGCATGTCATAAGCAAGTCCATAAAAGTAAAGAAACTCAGCAGTAGTAGGAAACTCATCATTGCCTTGTAGATGCCAAAAAATAAAGAAGCTTATTAGGGCTCCCCATCCTTCAGGAGAAAGACAAGAGGGGCACAATCTGAAGAAGGCCAGAATCCACCCAATGGTAGAATGGATGGGCAAACGAAGACCCATCTCGAAAGCACCTTCAAAAAAACAAATTTCTTATGGGAGAAGATAATTGTAGGGCTTATTAGGAGTAGGAACTCAGAGGGGTAAGTCAGCAGGCAGAAAGAACCACCTCTTGATTTCTTCTAACTTTGGGGCTGTAATCACAAAAGGAAGTAAGAAGGTAGAATACCACAACATGGCAACCATAGCTTGGGTTCACTGTTTGAACAAGGAAGAAAGAGAGGGAGCCATGTAAGTCGAAAGGAAGATATAAAATGAAGGAAGACTCAAGAAGAATGAGGAGCGTGAAGAAGAAACCCCAAATCTTGTAGGAAATAAGGAATCCCACATTTCATGGAAATAATAGGGAATCTCGAGTTTTAAGGGGCAAGAAATGCGCAAAATCAAATAGGCAGCCCTTTGCGCTTCCATAATCATGATGGTGGAGGTGTTTCAAGAAAGTAGGTGGACACAAATAATGATAAGAAAGTATGTGTTCCATGCTAAAGGAGCTACTCAGCTCTATTAAGCTCAACTCAAACTAGGTAGAGCTTAGACACAAGCAACTCAGTTCAGCAAAAGGATGAACTCTTCAGCCTAGTATAAGCAGAGCTTGTTGGCCCATAGGGATGGGCTCTTCGGTTCACTAGAAAATGACCTCCTCAGGATGATCTCTTCAAACCACAAAATCTTTCTACCTAACACCTCATCTTAAACCAAGGCCGAACTCCCGACTTGGGTAATTTGACCTCATACTTCAAGAAGAACTAATTTCTCCCCAAAGCAAGGGGTCAGAAGGGAATAGGAAGAGTGCAGAATGCAGGAACACAAAAGAGTTTAACAATCAGAAGTGTGACAATTAAAAAGCAAAAATGCAAGAACATTGGACAAAATCATTTTTTCATTTCTAAAAAGAAATAGTTGCGGAGCCATCTACAAGAAGAGGAAAAAAAATACAAAGGAATCTTAAATCCCCACAGTAGGGCCAGTTGGAGCCTTAGGTAGCTTAGGAGCCTCAGAAGCATCATTTGAAGGAGGGCCAGTTGGAGCCTTAGGCAACTCAGGAACCTCGGAAGCATATGCTAGAGCAAGTTCAACAGGAACAACAGACAGCTCGACAATCCTAGAAGTAGAAGTTAGAGTAGGATCAAGAGCTACAAAGATAGCTAGACTAGTAGAAACCATATGAGCAAGGACCTCGAATGAAGAGATAGATACCTTAGCATCCTCGGGAGCAATCTCAGAAATAGAGGGGANAGTTGAAGGAGGGTCAGTTGGAGCCTTAGGCAACTCAGGAACCTCGGAAGCATATGCTAGAGCAAGTTCAACAGGAACAACAGACAGCTTGACAATCCTAGAAGTAGAAGTTAGAGTAGGATCAAGAGCTACAAAGATAGCTAGACTAGTAGAAACCATATGAGCAAGGACCTCGAATGAAGAGATAGATACCTTAGCATCCTCGGGAGCAATCTCAGAAATAGAGGGGACCAAAATCTGAGCCTCCTTCTCCGCGCTTGGAACCTCCTTCTCCTGATTTGAAGGGGGATCAAATTCAAAATCTTGGAAAGTAAGGTACCTAGTAACCCAATTAGTGGTAGCCTCATCCTCTAGCTTAGTAATCAAAACAACCTTCTTTTTAACGGAAGCTCTCTCAAGCTCAATCTCTTTCCATAGAGTGATTCACCTCAGCCAAGACGTTGTATTCTCTCTTCATGGCCTCGTAAGACTTAAAAGCCTCGAAGGCATCCTTGCAATCTTGAATCAAATTGCCAATCTTCAACCAGAGCTCTTCCTTGATCTTTTTGACCTCATCCTTGGATTTTCCTTTCTCAACCCCCAAATCCTTATTAGCAGAAGACAACCTCTCCACCTACANACCTCAATCTCTTTCCATAGAGTGATTCACCTCAGCCAAGACGTTGTATTCTCTCTTCATGGCCTCGTAAGACTTAAAATCCTCGAAGGCATCCTTGCAATCTTGAATCAAATTGCCAATCTTCAACCAGAGCTCTTCCTTGATCTTCTTGACCTCATCCTTGGCTTTTCCTTTCTCAACCCCCAAATCCTTATTAGCAGAAGACAACCTCTCCACCTACACTTGCAGGTCCTTCACCTGAGCCTTGAGGTCCTCATTAGAGAAAGACAACTTGGAAACCTTGAGCTTAGAAGCCTTCAATGCCTTAGTTGAGCTCTCCAAAGACCTGATCCTACTCTTTAGAGCACTCACATGAATGGCCAGCTAGAGAAAAACACAACCAAAGGCTAGAATCAGTATAAAACAACAATGCAAGACAAAAATGAAACTCGGAAGAATAGAAATTTACCAAAGTAGNTAATCCTACTCTTTAAAACACTTCACATGAATGGCCAGCTAGAGGAAAACACAACCAAAGGCTAGAATCAGTATAAAACAACAATGCAAGACAAAAATGAAACTCGGAAGAATAGAAATTTACCAAAGTAGCACCATACAAGGTGATAGTAACAAAGGCAAAGAGGGGCATATCAATAACCTTCTGGATGTCGGACTCAGGGATAATTGAGGCAATGGCTTTGGCAGTAAGTTTCACATCACCAACAAGTGAACCTTTGCCTTTCTCAACTTTCAGGCCCTTCACTCGCAGATGATGAACCTTCTCGGCAAGTCCAGGGGAAGGATGCCCACACAAAATGGGAGCAATTGAATCCAAGGTCTCCTTGACCTCTGCTGATGTAGGAGATGTTGAAGTTGCAGATTGCTCAGGAGCTCCTCCAAAAGAGGAAGGCAAGGCCCCTTGAGGAATTGAGGTATGTATGACATTCAATGAGCTCGGTGGAAGAATAAAAATTGTTTAAGAGGGGGAAAAAGTAGGGGCACCTCTATCCTTTTCACCTTAGCAAGAGTGGGGAGGGTCGCTTCCTGATCCTACCTCAACCTTGCGCTTTCCTTTACTCCTGTCCTTCCTCAACAGGGTAACCTTCGCCTTTAAAGCTTCAGCATCTGGAGCCATTGAGCTAGAACCTAAAAAAGCCAACGAATCAGTTGAGACGAAGAAAAAGAAAGGAAAAGCTAGAGATCAAGAGAGAAGAATCTTACCACCAGGATCTTCTACACCAACAATGGAGATGAGAATCGGAGTCTCAACTCTTACCTCGGGAGGGCTGAACCCTAGCTTGGTGAGCATAAAATACTTGATCAAGCTAGAATATCTCTCTAGTTCGTAACCCTCTAGGCTCAGCAAAACTATCCTATCCTCGGTATTGAGGTCTGGTCAAATACTTGGAAGAAATAAGAGAGATATGGTCGGTAGAATAAAACACTTAGGCTAGGTCAGGAATGTCCAGACAAAACTTACCCAAATTATCAGGGACAGATCGAGCTCGGGGCACAGGGAGTATGTCAGCTACGTCTCTGGGGTCGAACTCCCAGTCTTTCCCAGACACAAAGAAGAAAAGTTTTTTTTAACCTTTATGGGAGCTCGGGAGGTCAGTTACAATAAGACGGGCCTTCACCCATTTAGTAGTATACAGGAAACCATTAGAAGGAGTGAACTTAATATTGACAAATTTCATGAGCAGAGGTACAGTGGGGACCCCAAGTTCATTTTTCTTGAAGAAAATGAGAAGACCCACTAGAACACCCCAAAAATTGGGAGAAAGTTGAGAAGGAAAAATGTTGAAATGTTGAAAAAACTCTCTTAAGAAAAGGGTGCATAGGAAAATGAAGGTCATTCTCGAGAGAAGCCACAAAGACGCAAACCTTCTCAAGAACTTGGGAGTTATACCCAGTATCCACATTTGGGCACCAATACTGCATACCCAAAGGAAATCCAAATCGAGCCGAAAGGACTCTCATGAAAGAAAGGGTGACCCCACTATGAACCACGAGGTTTGAAGTTGGGGGGCAACCTCAGCTTCCTCGGCACTACCAGAAATCCAACATTAGACACCTTGGCTTTCCCTTCCCGAAGTTTCTTAGACCTTTGAATAAGGGCAGATGATGGAATTGGGATCTTAGCCTCTTACGTAGCATCAATAGAATCAACAACGGAAAAGTTATCTATCTCATCTCCTATGTTGCCTAAGTCATCCTTCTCCACCTCAAGAGATCTCTCACCCATAGTGAGGGATACAAATGAAGCAATAGCTTTGGAGGAATTAGACATGGTTAGATTAGATAAAGGGAGACGAAAGGAAGAATAAGGAAAGGAACGTTAGCAAAACAATCCCTCAGGGTTGTAGGGTCGAGACACTGTTGACTAATAAGGAAGATCCTAGTTGTGGAATAAGGGTTCAAAAAGAGAGGAAGGAAGGACAAGGAATAATCATGATTCCTAAAATAAAAAAAATGAAAAGTCCAAAAATGCAACAACCACCTCAGATTCAAGGGATCCAGAGTGGAGAAAGGAACAGAGCAAAAATGTGTACCCAACCAAGGACAAGCGAAGACCCATAACCCAGAATGAATTCAAGGGAACAATAAAGCAAGCCTCGTAGGATCTTTAGATCGAATTGAGGGTTTTTCACAAAGCTTTGAGCTACCAAAAAGATGGGAAGACGAAATCGCAAGGGAGTGAGGGAAAAGGCAAATTCTGTAGAGAAAATTAAAAGGACAGGCAAAAGCAGTTCTTCATCTGGAAAGGTATTTAAAGCCAAGCGTACGTGGACCTTGAGATATGGGAAGTGTATGAAAAATAAGGAATTAACGATTGCACGTTAGCCATAAACGTCAGAATGAAGTCCCATCGTACACAAATCGAGGTTGACCCTTGGTGACCTCGCTCGACGCAGCCACAACTCAGCCCCTATTCAAACCACTTCGACCAGGGGCTGGGAGCAACTGATGATACTCATAAAAGTCCCCAAGTCTGAGATCGACAGTTTGGGAGCCCAACCATAAAAATCCAGAGATGAGTTCCAGACCTCAATCCCCTTTGACCTGCACCTCAGAGGAAACATAGGGGAAGACAGCTGGCAACCACCAAGCATCTCCTCAATGGCAATAGATGCTAGCCTGGGTGCCAAACTCTTAATTCCCTCATCACACCACATAATCGCTGCCTAAACCAAGCAAACATTACAAGACTCGAAGATCTCTCCTCAGATTCAACTATATATACTGTAAAAAGCCCTCATTATAAGGCAAGAAACCCAAGTAACCAAGTACATTGTATAATTTCTCCCACATTATCAATTTATCCCCCTAGAAGTAAGAGACTCCTTTAAAGAGTGGATTACCCAAGCCCCAAGCTGGTGAACCAGTATAATTCCTCTGTTCGATTGGTCCCATTCCCATATAAACCTTATTTCAAAGAGCCTTGGAGCTCAGATTTACTCGATTCAAATTACCCATTATCTCTACTATGTTCAATTGTGCTTTGTATATCATTATTACCTAAAGGCAAGTCACAAGATGAAGCTCATTTTAAGTATCGATAGACTATATATGACAACAAGCTTATGCCAATGCACAACTTGAGCTCTCATTCTCAGTTGTTCCTGACAGATAAAGAAGAGAACTATTATCCATTGGCAGTAAGGGATCATTCTACACAGTCCTCGGTACTTTTTATTCAAGGAGATATTGAACTATATGTTTGGAGATTGCAATCGTTTTAGTAGAGGAGATGTTATGCCAATTTCATTCATTTTCTATTATGATCTTGTTCACCCTTGCTTGTTTAGGAATTCTAGTTGTGAGAATGGTTTTTTGACTCCATTTCAATAAGGGAGGTCTTGGCGCATTAGCACATCAATTTTCAATTGGGATTACGTTTAGTCTTTACTAAAAAGATAGAAAGGGATTTTCATAAGGGACACAGGTTTGGAACTCTATATAAAAGGCGTTTCCTTTCAAATGACCATTGTCTCTTCCTATTGCGAGGGCATAGGTGTTGTTCCTGTTGCTCACTCTATGTAGCAAGTGTGACCAGCCTGAAACACTCTCACTGACTTGAGGAGGTTGAGCCAATTACAAGAGCAGCTATGAGGAGGGTTTATCACCCAAATACTTTTGCCTTTTAAGTGAATTAACTCAGTCCATTGAGAATTAGTGGAAAGTGTGGGTTACTATATTAGGATGGCCTCAGGTAAAACTTGGGCGCAACACAATCCTGTCCAACATCCATAACTTTCATTGGTGCAAGTCTTAGTTTGTTTATTTGTCAGGATATAAAATGAAATTTCTCAGGATCTGATAATTGGCTATGTTATGATTTCATATACTTTTGTTTTGTGCATCATGGTGCTTGAAACTTGATTAGGGGTGTTATTTTGTAACTAGTGTCATTGTCTAGTACCATAATTGAAGTATTATACTATTACCCCCTTAGCCATTGGCGGCATTAGCATGTGGCTGCCTTGCCCAAAGGCACCCATGCCTTAGCTAAATTGGCTTATTCTTGGTAAAGTATACCCTTGGGCAAAGTTGGTTTTCAAAGGACTTTGATGTTTACTTGGTTAAGTAACAAAGTGGCTTAATAAAGGCTCAAGTGGCATGTAACGACTCTATCCCTGGACCAAATCATTATGACTCCTCAGCTCAGAGGATATTCATTATTGTCATTGCATTTTTACTTCTTAATGCTATTATAAAGG